TGAACCAATTGAAAGAAAATATGATCATCACAACAGATGCTGGAAAAAGCCTTTGCTAAAATCCAACACCTCTCCATGATAAAGGTCTTGGAGAGATCAGGCATACATGGAACTTACCTTAACGTAATGAAAGTAATATATAGAAAATCAAGAACCAACATCAATTTAAATGGAGAGAAACTCAAATGAACTCCACTAAAATCAGGAACAAGACAAGACTCTCCATTCTCTCCACATTTACTCAATATAGTACGTGAAATTCTAGCTAGAGCAATAAGACAACAAAAGGATATCAAGAGGTACAAATTAGAAACTAAGAATTCAAAACTTCATTCTTTGCAGATGATATAATAGTATATTTGACTCCAAAAATTTTACCAGGAGTCTCCTATAGTTTATAAACACTTTCAGAGATGTGGCTGGATGAAAGATTAATTAAAGAAAAAAATCAGTGCTCCTCCTAAATACTAATGATAAGTGGGCTCAGAAAGAAATCAGAGAAACACCACCATTTACAATAGCCTCAAATAATATAAAATATTTGGGGTAACTCTAACCAAACAAGTGAAAGACCTGTATGACAATAGCTTCAAATTTGAAGAAAGAAATTGAGAAAGTTGTCAGAAAATGGAAAGATCTCCCATGCTCTTAGATAGGTTTGTGGCTATTATAAAGGGGGTGTTAGTCTGATTTTTCTCAGCCCATTTATTGTCTACATATAGGAGGGCTATCAATTTTTTTAGTTAATCTTGTATTCTGCCACTTTGCTGAAGGTGTGGAGTTTTTCCATTCACTTATGCAAAATATACAATCTGCAAAAAGTGGAAGTTTGGCTTCTTCCTTTCCAATTTGTATTCCCTTGCTGTCCTTTTGTCATCTTATTGCTCTAGCTAGAACTTAAAGTACAGTATTGAAGAGATATGGAGAGAGTGAACAACCTTTTCTTGTTCCTGATTTTAGAGGAATCGTATTGATTTTTCTCTCCATTTAGTTTGATGTTGGCTGTTGGTTTGCTATATATTGCCTTTATTATGTTTAGGTATTTTTCTGTTATGCCTGTTTTCTCCAAGACCTTTTCCATAAAGGGGTGTTGGATTCTGCTGAAGGCTTTTTCAGCATCTAGTGAGATGATCATATGGTTTTCCTTTTGCAGTTTGTTTATATGGTGGATTACTTTGATGGTTTTTCATGTTGAACCATGAAGCCTACTTGATCATCGTGGATGATTTTCCTGATGTGTTCTTAGATTCATTTTGCCATTATTTTATTGAATATTTTTGCATCAATATTCTTGAGGGAGACTGGTCTGTAATTTTCTTAGTTGTGTCTTTGTGTGATTTGGGTACCCAGATAATTGTATCCTTGTTAAAAAGAGTTTGGCAATGACCCTTCTGTTTCTATTCTGTGGAACAATTTGAGGAGTATTGGCATGAGCTCTTCTTTGAATTTCTCATAGAATTCTGCACTGAAACCATCTGGCCCTGCGTTTTTGTTTTTTTGTTTTTTTGAGTCAGGAGACTTTTGATGACTGCTTCTATATCATTAGGGGTTATAGGTCTATTTAAATCATTTATCTGTTCTTGATTTAATTTTGGTGTTATCTATCCAGAAAATTATCCATTTCCTTTAAATCTTCTAATTTTATAGAGTACAGGTTTTCAAAGAATGACCTGATGATTCTCTGTATTTCCTCAGTGTCCATTGTTATGTCTTCCTTTTCATTTCTGATTTTGTTAATTTGCATATTCTCTCTCTGCCTTTTGGTTTGAAACAAGGTTTTACTATCTTGCTGATTTTCCCCAAGAACCAACTCTTTGTTTCATTGATTCTTTGTATTGTTTTCTTTGTCTCTACTTTACTGATTACAACCCTCACTTTGGTTATTTCCTGGCATCTACTACTCTTGGGTGAGTTTGCTTCTTTTTGTGTAGAAATTTCAGGTGGGATGTTAAGTCTCTAAGTGACATTCAGCAGTTTCTTCATGTGGCACTTAGTGCTATGGACTTTCCTCTTAGCACTGTGTTCAAAGTGTCCCATAAATTTGGGTATGTTGTGCCTTCATTTTCATTGAATTCTAGGAAGTCTTTAATTTCTTTATTTCTTCCTTGACCCAGGAGTCATGCCACTGAGCACTGTTCAGTTTCCATGAGTTTGTAGGGTTTCTGAAATATGTGTTGTTGAATCCTAACTTTAAACCATGGTGATCCAATACAGAGGGTAATTCCAAGTTTTTGTATCTTTTCAGGTTTGCTTTGTTGCTGAGTATGTGGCCGATTTTAGAGAAAGGTCCATGTGACCCTGAGAAGAAGGTGTATTCTTCTGTGTTTGGATGGAATGTTCTATTGATGTCTGTGAAACCCAACTGGGTCATAACTTCTGTTAATTCCTTTGTTAAATTTCTGTATGGTAGTGCTGTCCAGGAGTGAGAGTGGGTTGTTGAAGTCTCCCACTATAAGTGTGTGGGGTTTTATGTGTGATTTGAGTTTTAGTAATGTTTCTTTTACAAATGTGGGTGCCTTTGTATTTGGGGCATTGATGTTCAGAATTGAGAGTTTATCTTGATGGATTTTTCCTGTGATGAATATGAAATGACCTTGTTCATCTCTTTTGATTAATTTTAGCTTGAAGTCTAATGTGTTAGATATTGGGATTACTACACCAGCTTGTTTCTTAGGTCCACTTGATTTGAAAATCTTTTACCAACCCTTTACTCTGAGGTAATGTCTATCTTTGAAGTTAAGGTGTGTTTGTTGTATGCAGCAAAAGGATGGATTCTGTCTTTGTATCCATTCTGATAGTCTGTATCTTTTTATAGGAAAGATAAGACCAATGATATTGACAGCTATTAATGTCCATTGACTGTTGATTCTTGTTTGTTTTGGATTTGGTGGTGATGGTGGTATTGTGTGTGGATTTCCCGTTTTGGCTTTTGGTGAAGTGAGATTATCTATTACCTGTTTTTTTTTTTTAATTTAAAAAAGCTGCATACTTATTTTGCTTTCTGACTATGTGCTTGTGCCTTCAACACTTTCACAACAATATTCTACTCCTCAATGGACACACTTGGAACACATGGAGTCACCATAGGCCCTGCTGACATGCTTCTTTGTCTTAGACAACCTCACAGAAACTTTCAGTTTGACAGCACGAATCCCTCAAAGTCTGCCTGGACACACATGACATGTGGATTTAGGTGCTTTCTCAATCTTCTTGGTATAAAGGTAAACAATCCTGTTGCCAGGGGTTTGAGACATACTAATTTTGTTAGAGGCTGTATTGTAGGAAAGCCTCCATCAGTATGTCAAACGCTGGGCCATTCTGAGTGTCTCTAAGCACCGTCCATGGAAGAGTGGGAAAAAAAAAGTTAACTATGTTTTTATTAGTGTAACTTCCTTGACTTGGAGTTTTCCTTCCAGTACTTCCTGTAGAACTGATTTGTGGATATGTATTTATTAATCTGGTTTTGTCATGGAATGTCTTGTTTTCTCCACTGTATTGATTGAAAGCTTTGCTGGGTATAGTAGTCTGGGCTGGCATTCATGGTCTCTTAGTGTTTGCAGAAATCTCTCCAGGACCTTCTGAGAAGTCAGGTGTAATTTTGATAGGTCTGCCTTTATAGGTTACTTGGTATTTTTCCTTAACTGCTCTAAATATTCTTTCTTTATTCTGTGTGTTAGGATTTTTGATTAAGTAGCAAGGGGACTTTTTACCCAGATTTCGCATTTACAGCATTCCCTCAGTTTGTGTTTTCTTTATTGTTTCTATTTCAGGTTGGGAACTGTTTCAAATGTTTCCTTCATGTGTTTGATTGCTTTTTTTTCTTGGCTTTCCTTAAGAGATTTATGGATTCTTTGTTTTTTTTTGTTTTGTTTTGTTGTTTTTTTTTTTTTTTTTGGTTTGTCTTTTCCTCCATTTTTTTTTCTTCCATTTCTTTAAGGAATTTTCTCATTTCCTCTTTGAGGGCCTCTATCATCTTCACAAAGTTGTTTTTAAGGTCATTCTCTTTTGCTTCATCTGCATTGGGATGTTCAGGTCTTGCTGGTGTAGAATCCCTAGACTCTGTTGGTGTCATATTAGTCTTTTGGTTGTTGAATGTGTTGTCATACTGCAGTCTTCTTATCCATTTTTCCAGGAGGTATAGGTGGGTTCTCTCCGGTTGGTGTAGGTCGGTCCAAGACTCAAATGGTGGCAGTCACTGGATGGTCCGGTCTGTCTCTAGGTCTCTCTGGGGGATTCAGTGGTGGGATGGTATGGGGCTCAAGGATTAGGTAACTCCAATAGGGAAAGGTGGGCAGGAGAAGGCCTGGCATTCACGTCTCTCACAACTATGCCATGCAGTATATGTCTGTGACATCTTATGTGTTTTACTATGGTTTTTGTTGCAGTGATGTATAGTATGACCAAAAGCAACCGAGGCAAAGAAAGGGTTAATTTGACTTATATTTCCTGGTCACAAAGCATCACTGAAGGAAACCATGGCAAGCACTATGGAGGCTCTGGATTAATTAGCATTAAATAACAACCAATCTTTTCATTACTTTGCAATGATAATTTCTTTTGACTGGATTTGGCTCCTCTGAAAGTCCCAAGGTGCTTATGAGTGTCTTTTCTATAGCTGCAAACAAACACAATGGGCAAGGCAACTTTGAAATGGAAATGTTACATTGGAATTGTAGTTACAGAGAGTTGGAGCCTCTGTAACTGCCTGAAACAACTAGAAGCTTGTATGATAATCTACAATCAGGAAGCAGGGAGAATATACTACAAATACTAGTGTTTTTCCAAATATCAAACTTACCTAGAAGAACATGTATTCACCAGAATACCATACCTCTTAGTAATCCTCACTGTGTCCACCAATGGAACCAAGTTTCAAAAAGCTTATTGGGCCATTCTCATGTGGAACATTGCTACAACTGTTTTCCAAGCTACTACCAGAGACAAAGTAAAGGCCAAAGAATAAACAAAGACAGAAAAACAAACCAAAAACCAGTCAGGCATTATTACACATACTGTAGTGATTTTAATCCTTTATAGAGTAAAATATTGAATCAAACAATGTTTCTTTCCACATTAAAATACTGTGTTTGTTAGTTAAGTCTCCTCTATGACAAACATATTATCATTTACTCATTTGTATTTCTGTGTGTGTGTTCAATTGAAAGTGTGGGAGTGACTGTCAGAAGACCTCTTTCAGGGATTGGTTCTCTAGTGCCACCATGTAAGATCCAGAAAGGGAACTGAGAGAATCATGGTTTCTGGCAATAAACCATTACTAGCTGATGCATCTCACGGTCCACTTACATTCATCTCTCATACCTCACGATAGAAGCAATTTGACAAATGCATTGTCACAGTTAATGGTACTGCAAGTTATATATACTACGCTTTTCACTGTGAGATCATTATCCAGGGATGTGGGACACAAAAAATCAGGAATACTATGTTGAAAGTTACAATAACTTCAAACTGAATCTATTTTAAACACTTTGAAGATTTTCCCACATTTATTCCAAACATAAAGGCTTTCACCAGTGAAATACATTTTTGAGTATGATAGGAACTGTTGCTGCTAAAACATTTTGTGAATGCATACCCATGTAAGGTCTGTCTGTAGGATGGATTCTTGAGAACATTCTGGAACCAGGAACTGGTGAAGGCTTTTGCACACTTGCATTATACTTCTTTCCAATGTAAATTCTTACATGAGGGTTACAGAAATTTGAAGTGGCCAAGGCTTTTCCACAATGCTGGCATTGAAAAGGTTGCTCACTAGTGTGGGGTCTTTTATCCTTGATAAAATCACAAAAGCAAAGAAAAAGTTTCTCAAATTCTTACAAGGAAAGACTTTACATCCAGAGTGAATATTTTTACTGGTCTTGTGTCAGTTGGAACTATGGAAGGCTTTTCCAAAAGCTACCTAGCATTAGGCTACTGACTAGAGTGAAGCATTTCATGTCTGCTGTTATCAGAGTGCCTGAAAGCTTTTCTACAATGCTTAAAAGCATAAGACTTCTCTCCGGTGTGACACTTTCCATGTCTGTGATGACTACTGGAGTCACTGAAGGCTTTTCTAAAATGCTTACATGAATAATCCCTCTCTCTGGAGTGAACTTTTTGATACTTGCAAAGATCACTAGACTGAAGGAACTCCCCACACACTTTATATAACAATTGTTTCTCTCCTGTGATTTTTTTCATTCAAGTTAGGATGTGAAAGGGGTAAATGTTTTTACGTAATGTTCTATTTAGTGTGAATCCTTTCATGATTCTTAAGACTACTGGACAGGCTGAAGGCTTTTTCACAATGCTTACATGCATAAGGCTTCTCTCCAGTGTGCCTTCTTTCATGTTTCTCATAACTACTGATGTCACTGAAGGCTTTTCCACAATGCCTGCATGCATAAGGCTTCTGTTCAGTGTGAGTCCTTTCATGATACTTACGGCCATTGTACTGACTGAAGGCTTTTCCACAATACCTGCAAGCATAAGGTTTCAATCCAGTGTGAAGCCTTTCATGATTCTTATGAGTACTGGAGTCCCTGAAGGCTTTTCCGCAATATTTACAAGCATAAGGCTTCTCTCCAGTGTGATTTCTTTCATGTTTCTTATGACTAGTGGAGTCACTGAAGGTTTTTCCACAATGCTTACATGCATAAGGCTTCTCTCCATTGTGAATCCTTTCATGCCTGTTCAGATGACTCGAGGTGGTAAATGCTTTTCCACAGTGTCTACAAGAATAAGGCTTCTCTCCACTATGAATCCTTTCATGTCTGTTCAGACGACTGGAGGTGCTAAAAGCTTTTCCACAATGCCTACAAACATAAGGCTTCTCTCCACTGTGAACCCTTTCATGTCTGTTCAGAAAACTAGAGCAGTTAAATGCTTTTCCACAATGCCTACAAGCATAGGGCTTCTCTCCATTGTGAACCCTTTCATGTCTGTTCAGAAGACTAGAGCAGTTAAACGATTTTCCACAATGCTTACAAGAATAATGCTTCTCTCCACTGTGAATCCTTTCATGTCTGTTCAGATGACTGGCAGTGGTAAATGCTCTTCCACAATGCCTACAAGCATAAGGCTTCTCTCCACTGTGAATCCTTTCATGTCTATTCAGATGACTGGAGGTGATGAAGGCTTTTCCACAATGCCTACAAGCATAAGGCTTCTCTCCAGTGTGAATCCTTTCATGAACATTCAGAGTACTGGAGTAGTTAAAAGTTTTTCCACAATGCCTACAAGCATGTGGTTTCTCGCCACTGTGGATCCTTTCATGAACATTCAGAGCACTGGAGTAGTTAAAAGCTTTTCCACAATGCCTACACGCATAAGGCTTCTCTCCATTGTGAATATTTTCATGTATGTTCAGATGACTGGAGCGGTTAAATGCTTTTCCACAATGTCTACACACATAAGGCTTCTCTCCAGTGTGAGTCCTTTCATGTCTGTTCAGATGACTGGAGTGTGTAAACGTTTTTTGACAGTTCTTACAAACGTAAGGCTTCTCTCCAGTGTGAATCCTTACATGTTTCTTCAGATGACTGAAGCATGTAAAGGTTTTTTCACAATTCTTACAAACATAAGGTTTCTCTTTTGTATGAGTTACTTTATGCTTCTCAAAACATTTTGCATTTTTAAATGTTTTGCCACATTGCCTACTATTGTACCTTTTCTGTCTAATATGACTATTTTCATGGTTGTAAAGGTCACTGGAATCAATGAAGGACTCATCACAGAGCTTGTATACAAACTGTTTCATTTCTTTATGGATTCCTTCATCATTCTGAATATATGTGTTTCCCCTTAAGTCATTGTCATTGAGTGTAACTCCAGTGTGAGTTCTCTCCTGAGGCTGAACCAAGCTGAGACCCCTACAGGCTTCATTATATTCTTGACTCTCACAGGGTTTCTCCTTGGGTGAAATTTCAAGTACCTGAAGTGACTCAGAATGACGGACATCATTCCAATGTTCCTGATGTGAAAAAGCTCGTGCTATAGCTTTCTTCCATACAGACGGTGCCCATGTAGTCTGGGCTCTAATGTACCCAGGTGAGGATGAATGACCTATGATGTTTCTAACACACAATGGGCTTTTCCATACTCTTATTCCAGGATGCATGTGTTTAATGATGATATTCTCAGTAATATGTTCCTGATTTTTATCACAATCATGGTCACATGCATATCCACAGTCTTTATCAATCGCTTGAGTTCTGCAAAAAATGAGAAGAGAATTACTGTAGCCAAGGGAAATGTTGGGGGTTGGCTTTTGTGGACCACTGAAAGTATACTTTCCCAGAGGCAACAGTCACTGTGAAGGACAATATGGACCACATGTAAAGAGCCTGTCATATGTAAAGAAGTAGAGTATTGACTTTATTTCTATTAGAAAGATGAAGGAGTTGTATCACACATTTGGAGGGTAAAATCATTTTTGCTCTTCAGTAGTTCAGTTTTGGTGACCAGCACTCATGTGGAGGGCACACCAGTTCCTGTTACTCATGCTCTCAAGGATCCTTTGCCTTTTAGAAAAATTTTTATCATAAGAGTGGTATACAAACATAGATACATATTTACAAGTAGAAAATAACTAATATGCATAAGAGGATTGAACATGAAGGCTGTTCTGCTGTTAGGAGACAATAAGTACAATCAAATAAGGTGGTGAAACACTGTGGCATTTTGACATGCAAAATTCTAAGACAGTGTTGGTTCATTAGTTATCCACTGCATGCATCTAGGGACATCAGAGAATGGGTTCCCTCAAAGGAGAAAACGACTCAGATTCACTTGTAAATAAGACTGAGGGAGCATTATTACATTCCTGATTGGTGAAGGATGCCCACACTACATTGTGACCTTGGGCAAGAGGGCATGAGCTGTACAGGAAGAGTACCTTCTGGTTACTTTGGTGGAGGCGACACTAACAAGGACACACAACTGAGAGAGGGAAACAGAAAGGAGTCGATGGCTTTTTCAGGTGACATTAGGCTTGATCAGTGATTGAGAAGGTATGCGTCAGCCTCCTGCGTGTGGCATCCCCCTAGACAGGTGGGCAAGGTTTTTATCAGGCAGGCAGCTGAGTCAGGGATGAGGAGCACACTGGTGAACAGCATTTCTCCATCACCTCTGCATCAGTTCCTGCCTACAGGTTCTTCCCAACTTTACTTCCTGTCCTGACTTCCTTTATGATGGGACTGTGACAAGGTTGTGTAAGAAAAAATGTGCTCCACCCCAGAGTTGTTTTTTTTTATTGTCATAGCAAATAATTTTGACGTTTGTGTGTAATAAACCACTGATAAAGCTCTTTCAGAAGTTAATGTTGCATGACACATGTGTGATCTTAATATGTTACAAAGATGAGATACTCAAATACTGAATGGCACAATTCAATGCTCTATTACAGAAATTTATTTAGAGATTATAGTTCACTTTGTTTTCTTTAGACATTTTGATAGGCACTTAGTTGTTCTATGATTTGCAAATATATAAGATCAATTCCTTTCTTTTGAATGTGAATTACCGTGTGTTTCTGATGAGGTGTTTGCAGTCCTCTCCAATATTTTTTTCTACTGCTTTTTCTAGAAGAAAATCCAGAGAAAAGAGTATGACATATTTATATTCAACATAAAAGTATTATACCCTAGCTCGTTTGACATGGTTTTCACACTATATTGCCATATATTCCCTCCAAGAATTCAAATATCAACAGTACACACATACACAAGAAAGAGATATTCTCAGACTAAATAAACAATGAAAAAATGTTGGGATTTTACCTATGAAGATCAGGTTCAAATATGTCTCCTTCATCACATCTCTGTAGAGTTTCTTCTGACTTGAATCCAACAAAGCCCACTCTCCTGAGGTGAAGTTCACAGCCACATCCTCAAAGACCACTTTCTCCTAAGGGTGCACATATCAGGAAAGTTAGTTTGAACTGCCAGACTAATAGGAAACAGAATCATCTAGCATATAATTTCCTGAAACCACGTCTAAATTACCATGTAAATAGGAGTGACTGAAGAATATCTGTGGGATGTTATCTTGATTACTTGATGTAATAAAGGAGACCTATTCTATCAATTACTACTCAACTGCCCTTAGGAAACATCATGACCAAGCAACTATTATAAAAGAAAGCACCTTGGGGGACACTGCTTACACTTTTAGAGGGTTAGTCAATGATTTTCATGGTGGGAAACAGACAGGCATAGACCTGGAACATATTCAAATACACACTCCAACTTGAGAGTCCACATTTTGTGAACTCTGTAAGAGTTGTGATAGTGGAAAAGGAAACCTAAGACATACAATCACCCATTATTCTCTTCATAATTGTGTGCACTGTGGCTAGCAGCTTCACAGGTCTGCATTTGTGAACAGTACATACCCTTCAAAAGTGATATAAAATAATCTCCTGCCTACAGTCAGTTTTCTGGTTCATTTATGACAGATGAATAGCCTAATAGAAGTGATACATATACAGACTGAAGAGACAGCTCAGTGCTTAAGAGCATTCACACTTTGTGAAGCACATGTTAAACTCATGATCAACTCACAATAGAATTATCCCTAGAGGCTACGAGACTTGGTTAAAGCTGTTTGGAGCCTTGTCTTCAGTTATAATGGAAGACCTGGTGGGAAGATGAGGTTAAGACAATGGAACAACAAAGTAGGGATAGAGGGATGGAAATCTCCAAAGACCAGTTCCTGGAGAGCAAGATTATGCTGATGTACAAAGGCAATCTCGATATGCTGACCATGTACATCCTGGATTTATGCCACACAGCAGCTTTGAATGTTTGGGATAGAATTTGAGACGTGGGAAAGGAAATTGAGTCATTTACTAAAGTAATGTGGAGCCCAAAGGAAACTTTTACAGATTTCTTTCAACACCTGACTTCAGGAGAAAATAGAATGATACAAGATTCCAAAGCTAAACGAATAATAATTGAATCTCTGGCTTTTGAAAATGCTAATTCAAATGCAACAGGGTAAATATGCCACTAAAGACATGATTAGCACCCTTGGAGGAATGGATCTGAGATACAATCAGTATTCAATCTCATGACCACGATGATACATTGATAGAAGAGGTGATTTCCAGAGGTTTGAAGAAAAATCAAAATGTCAAGTGTTTCCAATGTGGTAGTCAGAGTCACTTAAAAAAAGGGTTTGTAAGCAGGGCATTTCTAGAAACAATGATTTTCTAAACATAAATTCAAGCAGAATGTGTCTCCCTTCTGGAGTATACAGATGGTGTAGCAAAGGCAGGCATTGTACAAGTGAATATAGGTCAACAAATGACAGTCAAGGTAACCATATGCCATTGGGTAATACCTTGAGGAGCTTCCTCCAGGATGTCATGCAAATTCTATTCAGTAATTTCTTGTAACAGTGGATGAAACTCCTTCACAAACCAATAAAAGAACCTAATACCTATTATAAGAAACTACAGTGCTCTGGATGATGGAAAAGCTATAGAGGAAAGAACAAAATACTCAGCAAACATCTATAAATAAACAAAGACCAAAATTAAAAATACAGATAACTGACATTGTCAGTGAAGGCCTTATAGACATAGATGTAGATGTCACAATTTCACCAGGATCACCAGTATTCACCAGTATCAAGAGGTAAATGTTCACCTTTTAGGGACTGGAACTTTATCTTCAAGTAAAACAGAGTGTGAGGCAGATTGAATGTATAGAGCCAGAAGGACAGAGAAGAAAATTAAAGCCTTATAACGAACTTATGGAGACATAATTTGTTACATCAATGGAATACTCAGATTAACATTCCTCCAGTCTCAGAAACAAACCACATATTAATATATGTTTCTCAGGAAAATATTAGAAGGTATTACAAAGAACTGTCAACGACCATTCAGGTTGTACAAGAATAGGGCACAAAAGCTGCTGATCCTTCAAAGGCACCAACAGCCCTACCATTGAGTGGTTGATGGACAAGCCTGTATGGGTTAAGCAATGACCTTTAACAATAGAGAAACTGCAGGCCTTAGAAGAGAGTCAGCTAAATGCTCAATGTATTGAAGAATTAACCAGCCCTTGAAATTCTCTTGTATTTGTTATTAAAAAGAAATCTGGAAAATGGTAACAGATAAGAACTGTTAATCAGGTGACTCAGGCCATGGGCTCACTACAGTCTGGAATTCTTTTACCTTCTTTATTATCTAAAGGGATGCCTCTTACAGTTATTGATTTAAAAGGTTGTTGTTTTCTTGCTGTACCATTACAAGAAATAATTTGTGTCTATAGTGCCTACTTATAATAATTCTCAGCCTGCTAAGAGATACCAATGGATGATTCTCTCACAAGAAAGTTAAATAGCCTCATGCTGTGCCAATATTTTATAAGTCACCCACTGGAAATAACATACAAGAAATTTCCTCAATCTATAGTTTACCATATATGGACAACATTTTACTAGCTGACTCAAGTGTAGGCAATTTAGAAACAATGTTTAAAGAGGTAAAAAATAAAATTATGTGCTATGGATTACACATTGTTCCTGAAGAAATATTTATTAAGGACATAAAATAGTTGTACAGAAAATTAGACCTCAAAAGGTACAAATTAGGAGAGATCAATTGCTGACTCTTAATGACTTTCAAAGATTGCTGGGAAACGTTTCCCATCTACGGCACATTATTGAGATAAAACTTGATCAACTGATTAATTTAAACCAAACCAGAGATGGTGACAAGGACTTAAATATTCCCAGGGAATTTTCAGCTGAAACAGAGAGAGAATTACCTGTGGTGGAAAAGAAATTACAATATGCACATTTGGATCCTTTTGGGATCCAAAACTTGATTGCATTTTGGTTATTTTACCATCTAAGCATTCTCCTACAGGAATATTAATATAGAGGGAGGATATTAGTTTAGAATGGATATTTTTTTCCTCATAAACAGAATAAAAACTTATGTGGGGAATATCTCTAAGTTGATTCTAAAAGGCAAATTGAGAGTTTGAAAGTTAGCAGGAACAGACCATGTAGAAATTGCAGTACGTTTTACAACTGATAAAATTAACAAATTGTGGGCATAAATTGAACCTTGGCAAACATCTTGAGTAATCTTAGAAGAGATTAACAACAAACATCCCCAAACTAAGAAAATTCAATTTATAAAAAGAAGAAACTGAATCCTTTCTCACATTATATGGGAACACCGGTATGTGGAAACCCTATATTTTATACTGAAGTAAACAAATCAAGAAAGGCAGTTTACAAATTAGAATGCCTCAAAGTGCCTCAAAACCCTAATGATTCTTTCCCAAAGTCAAAATTATATGCTATTCTTATGGAATTAAATGATTTAACAGAAGCCCTCAACATAGTTACTGATTCACAACATGCAGAAAGTTGCTTTGCATATTTAAACTGCTGAATTTATATAATGTGATAGAGGATTGACTTTATTATTTATACAATTAGAATATATATATATATATATGTTTATCACACACATACAATCCCATGTGGGTCTGCCAGGAACTGTAGTTCAAGACAATGAGGAAATTGAGTAGCTCTTGATAGGAAATGTGCCAGAGGTCCAAGAATTTCATGAAAAACATCATAGCAATAACAAAGGTTTAAACGATGATTGTTTTTCATCACTTGGCAACAAGTGGAGGAAGGAAATCCTAAGGAAATATCCTACTTGTTCTTTATACAACCAAACTCCACTACTAGCAGAAAGTAACCCAAAGGATACTCAAAAGAATGAAATCAGGCATATGGATGTGTTTCATTTATAGAATTTAGAACATTAAAATATGTACACCACACCATTTAATCCTATTCAGGATTTCAATGGGCAACTGCTTTGAGTTCTGAAAAGGATGATTCTACAATCACACATTTGCTAGAAGTTATGACCATCATTGGATACCTCTACAAATTAAGACTCACAATGCTCCTTTATTATGTCTCTAGTAAAATGAAACAGTTTTTTTAATTATCACAATATAAAATATATCACAGGTATACCACACATTCCTACAGGTTAAGCATCTGTAGAAAGACCAGATCAATGTCTAACAGATAGGCTAAATAAACAGAAAGGGGTCACAAAGTCCCCCAGAAATAGATTGAATAATGGTTATTAACTTTGAATTCTCTGTATGCTAAAGAGGAAATGAGCAACAGCTGTGGAGAAATACTGGATAAAAGAGCAAAGTATGGAATAAATCAGCCTGTATACTTTATAAAGTTGTGCTGACCTTAAAATGGAAGCCAGGACATGGGTTACATTGGGGATGGGGTTTTGCTTTTCCTTCCGCAGGAGAAAAAATGCTATCGATACCATCAAAATTGATAAAGATTATATTTGAACAGGAGACAACCATTGATTAAGAGGTGAGAGTTCATTAAACAGCATGGCCTTTTGACTCGAACACACCCTCAGGTTACCGAGGGGAGGAAATACACAACAGAGTTTCATTTGAATATTATGTATATTCTCACATCACATGTCTCACATCAACTATATTTCTAACCAATCAGCATAAGCATAATAATCATCTAACAAATAAAAAAGGATCCTAGGGGCCATGGTAAAATATACCACGATCAGATGAGTGTGATGTGGGTACCTCCGTGTTCAGGTTTTGTGTCTTCTTGTTCCTCTTGATCTGCTTGCACAGCAAAGTGTAGTGGCCAACTGGACACCAGGGCTCCGGCTCACTGCTCCGTTTTGATCTGGCACGGGGTCGCTCGGTTGGTTGGTGGAGGAGAGTCTGCTTCGCGGCTCGGACAGCGTCTCACGCTCGGCGCATCTCAGTGCTCTGCTCTGGCGTCCTCCTTTGTGGTTTTTATACGTTTCCTCTGAGCTTTCCTCTATGCTTATCTATCAGCCACACACACATCAACTTATCACTCCTGTTGCCTTCCAAGCGCATCTCTCCCTCCAGACTGTTTACAGCTTCGTTTTCACAGTCTGTTTACATGCTCCTTACACCTTTCAATTGAAACTAACTTTAAAACTAAGAAATACTTTTCATTTGAGTAGATATAACTTGCCATAAGGGAACCTCCCCAAAATTAAGGTTGGAGAAGAGTTTTGATTTTGTCTTTTCAGGAGAATGAAGGCATCCACCTAAGAAATCCACTGGACAAATGAGATGTCTCAAGAAAAGGCACAAATCATCCAGAAAAAAAGTCCCAAAAAATGTAAATTGGCCTATTGATACATCACATCTACAACAAGATAAAATTTCAAACATTTCCTAAATGTTTCTTTCTGCTTTTCTCTACAGACATATAATGCAAATGATCTTTTTGAAGTTCTAGTCCAAGTAAAAATCAAAATTGGCTTTGGCGTGGGAATGTGGCTCTTTCCTTGTCTAACTGCAAGAATGTTTGTTAAAGTAAAATCAAAAATTTCTGTTTATATCAGAACATCCACAGGACATGGGGCAGCAGAAAAACAAAAATCTTTTATTGCTACTAATCTCTTAATCCTTTGGTTCTGTTTTGAGTCTTTGAAGCTTTTCTTGAGGTATAAATATTATCTAAAAATTTATGATTAATACAAATATTTTATAAGTTTGGCATTTTATTAATGGTCATATAGAGTATTAATTCTAGAAAAAAGGCTTCATGTAACATCCTGTACATGATTTTGGCTTCAGTCTTTATTAGGCAACTAGGAACTAATTTTTTGTACTCTGGGTGTACATAACAAATACTGATCCTTTAAACTCTTTAAGATCTGCTGCATATGATATTTAAAATGATTAAATTTTCTGCAGTGAACCATGAACATATGTAACAGTGACCATTGAAGCCTCCAAAAGAAGGATGGGGCCCAATAACAATTCCATCAGGACTACGATAATACGATTAAGCTGAAAAAGTACCACCTAAATATCGGCTTTGACTGCTAACAGATCACAACAATTTCGAGGTGGCTAACTGAGATGATCCAACCTCACAGACTACTTGAGTCAGGACTTGAGACAAGCCCTGCACTTTCCCATTACTCAGAGACTGGACCATACATGATACAGGTACATCTTCAGGACTTGACAATTAATCCAAAGTTTCCTTTTCAGGATCCCCCTAAAGATGCCATCAACCCCAGACAGCAGGAAGTAAATTTAAGAATATGACACCCACATTCCCAAGAGGTGGGGTGGGTGGTTTTTGGTCATTCAAGGAGTTATGGATATTTGTATTTATTTAGGGTGATTGGCTACAAGTTGTTATTGATAATGGTCAGGGGGAAAAAAGTGAATAAAGGAGATTAGACTCAGAGTTCTTGTTTTGAAAAGAAAACAGGTGAATATAGGTATGACAGGATATAAAAGTAGATTATTAAATCTACTCTAAAAAGGGGGAGATACACAAATATAAAAGAGGTACATTACCGGATCTACTTTTTGGGGGGGAAGGGGGTTTGAGACAGGGTTTCTCTGTGACTTTTGGAGGCTGTCCTGGAACTAGCTCTTGTAGACCAGGCTGGTCTCAAACTCACAGAGATCTGCCCACCTCTGCCTCCCGAGTGCTGGGATCAAAGGTGTGCGCCACCACCGCCCGGCTGGATCTACTTTTAAACTAAAAAAAGCAACTACCAATTTTAAATATTTTACATCGGCTTGGATTATTTGTATATTGATACAAAATTGAGATTATTTTTGTTAGAACATACTATACTTGCATTTCTTTTTTTTTTTTTTTTTTTTTTTTTTTGGATTTCGAGACAGGGTTTCTCTGTATTGTTTTGTAGGCTGTCCTGGAACTTGCTCGGTAGACCAAGCTGGCCTCGAACTCACAGAGATCTGCCCACCTCTGCCTCCTGAGTGCTGGGATTAAAGGTGTGTGCCACCAACGCCTGGCTTATACGTGCATTTCTAAAATTGTTGATGGTATTATACCGATGCATTTCCTTTAAGAATGTCATGCAAATTTTAGCCCCTGAAAGTTACTATCACCAACTATTTAGGATAATAAGCAAATACAGGTTAGGAATTATTCACCTATTAAAATCAAACTAGTAGTCATATTAAATATGTTTTCAAGGTCAAACAGATCTATTTTAGATAGTAAGGTCATCTTTAATTACTTCAAAGATCTACAGAATATGGCATTTAAGATGTTTCAACAGTATAGGTTCTTTTCTTTTTTATGACAATGACACATGTTTGCTCCTGGCAGCGCCAGTCTACTTCAGAGAAGAAGATAGCATTAGAAAAACTCCACATGGAGACGACTTTCTTTGTGACAAAGGTTAGCCACTGAGAAAGAAAATGTGTTTAACTCAACTGCTGACAGTGTGCTGGGCCAACTGGACAGGGAGGACACAGAAGGAAGGACTGCCAAATTCTGCCAAGACACGTAGGACAGCCCTTAAGAATATTCTGCTTCATAGAAAAGTCTGTCAGATATGCAGGGCCTTTAGGCTGAAGATGGACGCCCCCCACTGCAGAAGTTCTGTTCAGGCAGCTGGCTGTTTCTGTCATTTCTCACATTTTTTGGAAGTAGCTTGTCTGCACTTCTGGCTTACTCAAGTAATATTATTTCCTTCTTGGGTCTCTGATGGATTTGAAGATTTCATAGTTGTAGTTATATTTTCCTTCTTACCAGACTCAAAAAACATTCACAAAAAAGGTAAAGTATATATAATTGAGAGACATAAACTGGGCATGGTGGCAGGCATTCCTAATTTATGCAGTCCTGAGACAGAGGAGGAAGACCATTCAATTGGGGGCTAGCCTGGTCCAGAGAAAGTTCAAGGACAGCCAATTCCAAAGAAATCCTGCCTCAAAAAACCAAACCAGACAACAAGCAACCAATAAAATCATTCAGTAAAAAGGAAAAAGCAAACACCTTAATACATTATTATGGCATTCTGGAATGAGCCTATTCTATTTTGGATTTCACTGCATTGTAAAACAACATACTCTGAAATTTTAGGGGCACTCACTCCCTTCCTGGCACACACAGTATCCCCCACCTTTTCCACAAAGTGGTGGCTTAAGTCGCTCTGTACGTCCCAAACTCATACCCTAAAGGACAAATTCAGGACTTTAAAGTAGGAGCAGACTCAGGAAGACTCAAGCACAGGAACCGCACACAGGGCTTGATAGGAAACAGCAATGACAGGGGAGGAGGCACAAGTCCATGTCTCCCCCACACTTCATCTTTCATTGTGTCTATTTACTGCCAAGAAATAAAACACACCACCAATGGGATACACTTCCTCAATGGATGGATAAAATAGACAGGAGTGCTTCTCTGAGGATTCAGAGTTATAAAAATCAACCCTTGACTTTGATACGGTTTTCTTTGCCTCCATTCACTAGATTAAGTACTCCCAATTACCAGGATCCCTCTGACTGCTAAGACAGAACCCACAATGGTCATTCAAGTGATGATGCAGAGACAGGAAATGATTAACCTTGGGACTTCATCATGCCCGCTATTGCTTCCAGGGTCATGAACTAATTCCTTCAACACCATAATATTCACTACAGCAATAATGTCACTCACATGTACAATAAGACTTGTATATCTTTTTCTTGAGTATATGCTTTTGTTGCATGTATATCCAGTCACCACATGTGTTCTTGGTGTCCCAGGAGACTAAAAGATGGTATTGTATCCCTGGAGATGGACTCACACACTATTATAAGCCACCATGCGGTGCTGTATGGGATACCAAAATAAGAAGAAATTCCTAACAAGTTAATAGGAGACCAAAACAGGAAAAAATATACCTTGTATGTTAAGAGTTCTGCTTACAGTTAAGCAAGTTAAGAAGAAGTTTGCTAACTGTTGCGTGTTGCATGAGTCAGTCGAAGCAAGAGGTCATACCAAGATGAATTTTTTCTGCCTGTGCAGCAGCAGGAAGTTCCAGCCTCTGGTGAACTGAACTTCCAGTAGTCAGATGAAGGAATATTTATTGATCATCCCATGCAGTTTCTTTGGGGGATAAACTATTTCCTGATCTCCTTTATATGTGTTTCTGGAGGAAAGCATCATGGCCCTGCTACTTTAGTCTTTTATCCTGACATTGGCAGTTCATGAGAATCCAAGGGGTCCAGAAACAGTGAGCAAAGTCATGCAAAGGCTGTGAAACTGCTTCAGAAAAGCAGCTCTATAAGCACAGAGAGCAACCACTGATTTCCACCAAGATTCCTTCCAAGTTTAAGCACTTCTAGAACACAACTACTCTGTTCTAATATTTACCCTTGATACAGTGACTCTCAAGATCCTACAACAAAGATCCTGTTTGTCCTGTGTTAAGTCCTTGCAAGCTAAGGCTTCTTATTGCAGCCAAGACGATCCTGTGGTCCTGTGTTAAATACTAGTCAAAGAATAAGTTCCTGTTTGTCCCATGTTAAGTCCTTGCTAAATATGTTTTCTATTTAATTAAGAATACGTTCCTGTTTCTTAGGTGTGATGTTATTTGCCTGTAATACCATTCACTTGATGTATATCTGTGGTGATATTTTTTATGATTTAATAATACTTACCTCATGGTTCAGAATGCAAAGCTAGCCACAAGCCCTAGAAGCCAGGCAGTGGTAGCACACACTTTTAATCCCAGGACCGGGAAGACAATGGCTCACAGATCTCTATTAGTTCAAGTCCACCCAGAGCTACATGAAATTGATCCAGTCTAAAAGAGAAAGAGCTCACACAAGGGTGATCTCACACTTGGGATCAGACGCCTTTAATTCCAGCACTAGGGAGGTGGAGACAGGAGTGATACGGCTGAGCAGAGAGACACGAGGAAGAAGCAAAGTCAGTCTCAGGCAATAACACTCCAGCCATGTTGAGGAGAGGTGGAAGTCTAGGATTGCAGTCTAAGGTTTAATCATTAATCAGCCTTTTAGCCTGAGG